GTGCGTGTCTGTGTGCGTGCTCATTTCCAGTCAATGTGTGTCGTGTATTGTATTTCCAGTCGAGTAGCCTTCCTGACAGGGCGGCCCTGCAGGACCCGGAGAGCTTTAGCTGCCCTAAAAAGCTCCTGCAGGATGGTGCACTGTTTTAGCTGTCTGTGCTGCTGCCTGACAAAAAAAATAAAAAATCATGGGACTGTTGTTGCTGCAAGAAGAGGGGGACAAGTGACTACGCAGACATGAGGACACAGACAGATACAAAGAGACAAACACAAAGAATACGACACAATGGTACACAATCACACACACGCTAAAGGAGTTGTGTTTTGAGCCTGTCCGTCATATTTCTGGCCATCAAAACCATCAGACAAATGGAGGGGCCAGTGCAAGCCAGCGGACTGGCAGCACATGAATGAAGAGGGGGGACACATCAAAAGGTGCTGGGGCCCCTTTTTCCAAAACCATGCTCGGCTGTTCCAGGCAATACGCAAACCCCTCAATTTCCCCCCGCTGAGCGCCACGCGCAAAGGAGCGAACACGCGCGCGCGCACACAAACACAGAGGCAAACCCGCGGCCCGGCGCTAGTAACAAAGAGAAACCCCAATGAGCAAACAAGTGCATATACGCGCACGCGCACTTACACTGCTACACACATAAAACCTCCAGAAGCAAACCACAACATCCATCAACATTATGTGTTCGCCCAAATGTTGCTCCAAATGACTTGGAACAAACATGAGAGGAATAGAATAATCAAAAACTTGCAGCTAGTCAAAGCTATGCTGAATGCAGTGGACGCTGCAGTGCAGTGCATACAGAGTGCACGTTTAGACTGCAAGAGCCTGGAAAAGGTGAATTATTGCTTTTCTGGCTTGTTGTGCTACAAACAACTGCGAGACATGGACACAGGCATATTGAAGCATGTCCCAGAAGACCTGAGAGTGAAGAAAAAGTAGAGATTTAACTAATAGACAATCAATAGCAGAACAAAAATGATGTAATACAGCAGGGGTCAACAGATAACAGCTGTCCAATGGTGGAAGTATGTTACCATCAGGCCAGCAGTACACAGTAAAACTACACATGCTAGGATTTTAACATCCTGCTGTTGTTGTTGTTGTTGTTGTTGTGGCAACAACATGCAGTGAGTTGGCACTGTATTTTTTCTGTGGTCATTGCAGATTCATTTCTAACTTATGAATTACCATGTCGGGGGAAATCACCACCAGTTCTATGAATCTGTTTGTTTTCTGATAACCGTGTGTATTCTGATGCGTTTTGTGAATTGAATCAGAAACCTTTGATGTGTCTTTGACCACTTTACAAAGTTACACACCTTTTGACGTAATCATCTGGTGCACAAGTTCTGCGCTCATCTGATTATAACTGATTACACCACCTTGCATACAGGTAGAAAAATCATGATCTCTGTCAGATTCTGCTGATTGCAACTGGCAATCGCAGGTTTTAAGATTCCAAAGCATGCAGGAGTTTGTAGTTTTTTTATCTCCCTAATGCTCAACTGCTTATGAAGGAGTCTCAAAAATCTAAATCGCATTTACTTTTGAGGTGGGAGCCGTGTTGCTATCTGTATTCACAAGAATGTGTACAGTGATCATTCAAATACCACCACTTGTGTGTATATGTGCACTCACCTTGTTAGGCGCAGTGGCTGAGGGCGCTCCCCGAACTTCCTGCAAAGACACAAAGTGAGAAGAAAAAAAAATGAGTGGGCTAGCAATCAACCACAAACACACACGCAGAGTAAACACTGCATTACACAATAGTACACCTACACACTTGTCACTGTGGCCTTGACAGTGTGTAGCAGCACTGTGCTCAAACAAAGGCAAATGAAGGGACGTGTTGGTGTGTCTTTTTTTGTGTCTTTATGGCAGCAGGCAGGTTAAAGCAGGTGTACAGATACTGGACTTCATTCAAACTAATTCCTGTCTATGACATGTCCAAACAAGTTATGTATCAACAGCAAAAAAAAAAAAAAACCTTCCTGTTTCAGATTTTGTTTCTCGTGTAGTTACTATTACTATCATATTTCAGAATAAAACAAAGCTAAAATTACCACCACCACATGAAACCCAACAATAAGGCGTGGATGGCTTGAGGCTTAACACAGTGCTCAAAGGATGACTAGACATATTTATCTTGGTTATCTAGGTTTTTACAACCTACAACATCCGACCTTAGACGTCTAATAGATGTGGAGGTTGTGCTACAGACCTCGTTGTTTGACTATGTGGCACTAAATCCATTAAGTGTAGAACACTAATAAAAATGTAACAAACCGATAACAGCTATCAGGCTATATGTGCGCTGATCTGAATTGTAGAAGTTGAACATGATCATTTCATGAAGCTGCTTCTAGTTCTATGTATAGAACTAATAATATCTGATTTCACTTGGTCTAAAGGCCACGTGTAAAGTTTTTTTAAACTAGACACCGCTGCGGCACAGTAGGGTAAATGCTTTCTAACATATATGATGTTCTGTGATCATTTCATGCCATCATAGTGCTTTACAAATTAGAAAGTAGTAAAAAACTCACTCAACAAAGAGGATTAATTGTCATTTTTGTGCAAATTCACAGTGATGTGCTCTCAAAATATTCAAAATGAAAACATCTGAAATCGATTATTTAAAGCAGAGGGCATCGTGCTAAGATGCTAAACACAACAAAAAGCCTAACTTTTTCTCCTGATTCTCTTTCTGTCCAACAACCGAAAAGAACATTATAAAACAATACTGCCAGGACACAACAAACCTTTTTCACAGCAGCCGTTTTAACATGAAATCGTAGGGTAAACATAGGTGCTACCAATGATACTAATTAAGCCCTGTTTATTGGGCCCTGTTCCATTCAGGTCAGACAGCATCAGGGTGCTGCTTTTGTGCACGTTAACTCACTGGAAACTTAATTAGTGTCATTGGTAACACCCGTGCTTACCCTACTATTTCATGTCAAACATACGCTGCTGTGAGAAAAAGGGCTGCTTTATGTCTGAAGGAAAATACTAACAACCCTATTCAGTTATACAATTTAGCTTAATCAATAAAAATGTGACATTAAACAAATGGTAACCGAGTTAACGAGCCAATCGTTTGTAGTTCATGTTTTAATTTCAGTGTTTAAATCTAAAGTGTTATCAGTTCACCCTGAATTCCTGGTACACACAACACCAGCAGTGTTGCAAACTCTGTTTTTTATGTATTAAATGCCTTTTTTTTTTCCCCCAAAAACACTCTTTTAAAATCTTAGAAGGAAAGGCAAGGCGGTGCTCGTGTAGAATCCAAACCGGGAGGATGAACAGTTCTTAATCCGTCACTTCACTTGGTTAGAAGCTTATATAAATCTGTTGCCATGACTCGTGCCTCATTGGGCGTCCTCTCACATCTTCATGACACTGCCGTTAACTTCATCATTCATTTCACTATTGCATCAGCATCAGTTATTCGCACTGCACTCTAAAGATTGTGGTCCTAAAGTTT